CTCCACAAGACAGCCTACCTTCATCGGTTCCATTCATTATTGACACGCAGTCGTCCCTCACAAAGAAGGGAGAGGCCTGAAAAATCTCCTTCACCTATAGTTCAAATAAAAGCTACATTCAGAGAAATATTTTTTCAGCTGGAAACCAAGTTTTTTAAAATTCCAGTTTTACACTACTGCTCCTCTTCTTGGGCTAAATCCTCCTGACTGCTGCTCACGACTTTGTTTCAAGTTCAAGAGGCCAACAGCATCATCTTTACACGCGGGCTCTGCAGTTTGGTGCAGAGACAGGAAATGGATGTGTGGGTTTTCAAGGATGAAGGCTGCTCAAAAGTGCCATTAGCAAGGAATACAATGGGTAGGAAAGGGACTCCAGTTTACTTTGCTGCAATTGGTGACCCACAGGGTACCATATATGCATGGGAAAGGCAGGAGATGGACAGCCTAGCTTTCAGGAATGTCCCAGGGAACTGCATTTCCAACAAGAGCATGTTGGCTGATAATGATCTTCTATACCCTATCCTACAGGAGGCAGCAGAGCCCTAGCTTTGCAGGGTCCTCTAAAGTTTCAGCTGAAATTCAGTGTGGAAAAGTACTGGCCAGGCTGCAGGCAGCAGAGACTTTGATTTCAACCACCCCCCATTTCTTCCTTCCAATTATTGCTTAGAAAAAGAGTACACTCAGTGTACTTAAGCACACTTAATAAACTTTTCCTGCATCTCAAAGGTCTAGAACACGTTTTGTTTATTTTTGTAATATTTTAAAATATTAAATGTATTTTACACGCCTATAAATACAATTTACATTGTTTTCAATCAATATAAAGGAGCGACCTTGCAGCAGCAGGTTGACAATGTGGCCAATCAAACAGTAGAGAGCTTTTCTCAAAATAGCACCATCCTGGTCAAACTCACCGCTAAACATGACCAGTATGAACAGGCCTGTAGTTACTGTTAGCAGGATCTCACTGCATTTGTTATGTTATCTGTCATCTCCTGGTTTACTTGGAGCTGCCATCATTCCTCTGTGCTTGCACTCACACAACTTCTCCCCCAAGTGCATTTGAGATCAGATGGCTCTGCACTGTTTTCGGGGTTAAACAATGGGAATTGACTCACGTACACAAAAAAATACGCACGTTACACAGTTTGCTATAAAATTTCTGGCAAGCAAATGGAAAAACAAGAAATAGTACCTTATCCAGTAACTTTTGAGCTTTCTCTCCTGGCAGCAACCGTAGGCCAGCTGTGGCTTTCAGGACCAGAGGAGTAAACTTCCACAGCTCCATAGGAACTTCCTGCTTTGCCACTTCCAGGAGCTCTTCTATTCCCTGGGCACTCTGTGAGCAGAAAAAGAACAAGAAAAGGCATCTTAAAAACTCTTTTGAAAGGGCAAAAGGGTGATCAGAGATTCAATTCACTGTAAATGTGAAACAGAGACAAATTAAAAGCACAAGGGGCCAAGAGAAAGTGTAGGAGTCACTATCTCCTACTGCGTAAGTCTTAGTGGATATAACAGATATTATCAAGCTACAGGTCAAAACCCGAAAGTCTCTTTTTCAAAAAGTGACATAGAACTCTCTACCACTGAATGTTTTGGCTACAGAGAGCTCAAAAGGCAGTATGACAAATTCTTGGAAAACAAAGGCTTTTGGAGCCAGTAAAACGCTATGAGCTGGGTGTAAGTCTGGCTCAGGGAGTGCCTAAATTCCTGCGAGCTTGAAGGTAAGGGAGACAGAAGAGAAATCACTTAAATACCTTTTCGACATCATCAGCATATGCAGATAGACCTGGTTTCAGTGCTTTAAACGTCTCATGGGTTAATTTGGGAGTTTCTGTTCAAAAGCAGTATTCCAAAATAAGTAATGGTACAAATAATTTCGCATACACAAAAAGAAAATCATTTAACAAATTACATTACTATGTGCTAATGGAAGTCAATTGAAGCCTCTGTCTAATGAACTATCAACAGCCACCTGATCTCTAAATACAGCCCTTGCTACGGAATTAGATCCTGAGAAAACCATTTTTAAAGTCATGACTGGTTTTCAGATGCTGGTGTACACTATGCTTATATTCTTTACGCATATCAGACAAGGGGTTCAAGTTGTCTTTGAGGCCTTACATCTGCCATGTGCAGCTTTTCAAACTGCACCTGTAACAAAGACTCCAAATTTCAGCATGCTCTGTTCTGACTAAACTTGGCTCCAGCAAACCCTAGTGGAAGCTTTTCCATTTTTTTCAATAACAGCAGAGGGAGCCAGACTTAAACATATTGCAAACCTGTAGCCCTACATGCACCTGAAATGAAGACAACACCAGCCCGACACATTGTCATCGTCCTCCTGTAGCCAACTACACTCCATAAAGTTTGCTGCAATATATTCTGATATTATGTTTAAAGAAAAGCAGGCAAGGAAGCAGTGAAGACTTGAGAATACCCTAAAAGAAGGAAATCAGTGGACTGTTGTTTAACACCTTTCTTGGCTAAGCCTTACAACAGCCCATTATGCAAACCTACCGTGCTCCCCAGAGGTCAATCACACCATACACCACACTGAAAACCTTCAGGTCACTTACTAACAGCACCCACACAAGTTCTTTGATCTTTAAGACTTTTACAAATAGGAGCTGACAACACGTAAACAAATGAAGCTTAGTACTCCAGAGGAAAACTGGAGATTTTTTTTTGTACACTTCTGTCTCACTTCTGAGTAGTTTCTGCCCAGATGTAATACACAGCAATTTTAATTAAACAATTTGCAATTTTTGTTTTCCAACACTGAAGCCAAGGATGCACTAAACCAGACACTGCAGAGAGAAGCAGCTCACTAGCAGGAACTGGAGACAGCCAACAACCTCATGGTGAAAATTTGGGGAAATAAGGCAGTTTGAATTTATAATCTTCTCTTCCACCAGCGTGATGAAAAATTGCCCTTCTTCAAGCCACCACTCTAAAAGTACAGGTGCTATTTAGTTCACATTCTGACATTACAGCATTTTCTTCTTGTTGAACGTTTCATAATTTCATCCAAGCCTATATGCCTGATTCATAATATAGATGACTCTCTGGAAAGAGCTGAAGCATATTTGTTCAAGCAATCTCTAGAAAAGAGTCATCAATAATCTGCTCCATAACATTATGGAAGACTTAATCTATCATGCAATGAGCAGAACATACCTCTTGGCTGCTGTGTAAATTTAAATATATGGATGCGAGTTCCTGTGCTTCCTGCATCAAACATAATTCCATAAAAGACCGAGAGATCTGTGGTCACTGCCTGATGGTTCAGTTTATCTCCTCTGCTTTCAGCAATTCCTTCTGTTGCTCCCATGAGTGGTTTGGAATCCAAGCGCCATTTTATGTATGCAACATAAATAGCTATGCATGCCAAAATCCCAAAAGCGAAGAACCGCTTTGACATCTTCATGGCTTCCATCTATCAGATGTTTCGTGTCTTCCCTTTATCACAGAGAACAGGTGGTTCCCACATCACTCCTACATCCAACAGAAGAGTAAAAGTCTGTTTTATTTTCTAAACCCAATTAATGGATCTAAGAATATGATGCCTACAACACTGAACACTCCCAATTGTTCCAAAGGAACACATCCTTCTTCAGCATGTCATTGAGATCTATAGCTAACTTGGAGGCACGGAGCAGCATAAATCTTCTTTTCCCCCATTGCTACAGAGGCCTTAGAGGCAGAGAAAGGAGAGTTAAGAGAAACTAAATACAGCGACTGAGGTGGGAAGGGACCTCAAGAGGTCTCTCATCCAATCTCCTGCTCACAGCATGGGCAGCTATAGGGCTCCTCCATGTTATCCAACTCATCTTGAAGAAGTCTGAGGACAAAGATCCCACAGCTTCACTGGCAATTATCTTTGTTAGTTCCTGGATGGTAAAACAGGTCCCAGAAGACTGGACAAGGACAATTTTTTAAAAGGCAAAAGGGAGTTGAGAGTTCCTCTCCCCCATGTCCAATGCCAGGAAAGAAACCACAGCAAAGCACAATGCAAAAAATCTACAAGCACTCACATGACACCATCCAGATGATTAAAAAACAGTCAGTGATGATTTATGGGGAGCAAAATTACATATTATTTTTCATTTTGTTAAGGAGTAATGAAGAGAGAACAAACCAATCAATGAAGTTGAGTTAAACAAGGTTTTGACACACATGTAATCTGTTGGTGATATGAATTCAGGAGGCGTACAGAAGGTGTGAAGGGGAGGAATTTAAAATCAAGGTGATTACAAGCATATTGCCAAAAGTGGGTAAGACGAAATTTCATAAAAACGGAGAAAAGCTAAACCACAGGCACATGAAGAATAGATCAGTGTGAGGGAAAGGGAACTGTAGGCTGTCATGACACAGAAATCAGGAACATGGCATTGCAAAAAAAAAAAAAGAAAAATCTTTCTGGCTTCTACCAGCAGGCAGAGACATGCAGGTGGCAATTGCTGCACGTCTAGGGGATGATCACTCCAATCCTTCTGGTGCCAGAAAGGCCTCAACTGCAGCTACACGAGAGCTTAAATGTCACAGGACGGAGGAAAGCCGCAGGGGTTTTGCGTCTTTGAGGAGACACAAGCCCCACCGCAGGAAAGGGAAGACCGGAAGGATGAGGGGGAGGCCTGGAGGCGCAACAGTCTGGAAGCGCTCCCACCCTACCGCCGTCTGCCTGAAGAGAACTGGGATTGTCCTTTCCCTGTCTTTGTCAGGGGACGCCGAGATTTTCTGCAAGGGAAAATCTTCCCGCCTGCGCCGCCGAGGATCGGGAGGGCGCGGCCCGCGGGGCGCCCGGGCCCGCGGTGCCCGCGGTGCAGCCCCCGCTCACACACGTCCCGCCGCCCTCGCTCCCTCCCTCCCTTACTCCCTCCCTCCCTCACTCACGCACCCGCTCACGCCGCCCCCGCCGGCCCCGCCGGCCCCGCCATGGCGCCGCCGCTGCCCGGCCCGCGGGCGGCCCCGCTCCCAGCGCGCAGGCGCGGGGTGGGCCCTGCGCTCAGTGAGGGGAGGCCGGTTTCGCAGCGGGGGAGACCCCCGGGGATGGGTGCTCCCGGAAAAAGTGCTTAAAGGAGGAGCAAAAGGCCGCAAAATCAGAGAGGTATGGGGAACAGTGTTGAAAAACGTGGAATATGTCAAAATTGCCGTCAGTCAGGGTGTTATTTGATGTTTGATCTTTGTGTATTTTCAAGCCTAAATAGCAAGAAATGAGACTTAATCGGTGGAACAGACAGCAACGAACAAGCTCTAAGGATGATATACATCCAGACACGAGCTCTAAAGCATGATGTAAATCAAGAAACTGCTGTATGTCAGTAGAACAGGTGGTAGTTAGCATCCTTCAGTCAAGGACACCTTGGAGCAAACAACCTCTAAGGACAAAATAAATTAAGATGTTGATGTATATATTGTCAACTCAGCAAAAGACTCGAGGTCCATGTATCCTATAGCTGAACTATCTTCATTATAGTACTAAAAATCATGCGTACAGGTGAAAAAGGTCCTGCCCCAGCAAAGACCCTTCCCCTGAGCATGTGTAGAAGTTAGATGGGATTACATAATTTGTATGATAATTACTTATCAATACTAATAGAGGAGCTGTACTTGAGAGCACTAAATTTCTGTGTATAAAGAACGGCGTGGCAAGTCTGGAAGGGCGTCCTTGATTTGTGAAATACCACCGAGCATCCAAACTTGCACAGCTATGAAATAAATAACCAGTGTCTCTCTTGGGTGTCTGATTATTGGCTTGTTGCACACTGGGTAAGGAATCCAGTTTTTGTGGACAAGAGGAGCAGTCCCCAGGCTGAGGGGAGGTGGGGCAGAGCAGGGCCTGTGCGAGCAGTGGGAGAGGCCCCATGGCCCAGGGATGATGCCACCAGGAGATGGCTGGCAAGGCTGCCAGGCACCCTCTGGGCCCTGGTGAGAGCCTGCCAGGAGCTCTTGACCTACAAGTTTGGGCCAGCTCTGATGTGGGAAGTGTGGGTAGATGTGAGCAAAGGAGGCTCCATGCCTTTCCCCATACATTGTGTTCCTTTAACAGTTTTCCTGCTTGAGTAGCTTCCTTAATGGCTCTTCTGCCATCTAGATCATTTTGTCTTTCATCAGCTAAAATTATTCCTGCAGTAGCAGCTTTCTGCTCTAGCCCATCTGGAAGAGTGTGTAGAGGCAGTTTGTGAGCGAGACTGTACAACTACAAAAAAGGAGGTTGTAGTGAGGTGTGGTTTGGCCTCTTATGCCAGGCAACAGGTGATAGGACAAGGGGAAATGGCCTCAAGTTGCACCGGGTGAGGTTCAGCTTGGATTAGCAAAAGTGTTTTCACTAAAGGAGTAATAAAGCATTGGAAAAGGTCTTCCTGGTGAAGTCACCATCTGTGGAAGTATTCAAAAAACGAGCAGACCTGGCCCTTCATGATATGGTTTAGTGATCATGGTGGTATTCAGTCAAAGGTTGGACTTGATGATCTTGTAGGTCTTTTCCAACCTTAATGATTCTATGTGTGAGAGCACTACAGCAAACACAAGGCATGAAGAGATGGAGACTGATTTGGAAATCAGATGCAGAGCAGAAATCTAAGCCTTGATGCTCTTGGTTGCATGCAAGAGGCTCACACCCTCCCAACAAGTCCCACCATTGCCCCCACAGCTCCACGTGTGTGCAGGTGTCTGTGATGAAAGACCCCACTGGGGAATAAGTGCAGAGTCTCCCAGGATGTTATTTGTTCCAGCAAATGACTCCCTCATAGCAGTGTTTGGAAAGTAAATTAATTTTGCAGGTTTTTTTTCCCAGCCCTGTGAGTAGCAGGAATTGAGGAATTTCAAATGATGGTTACTGTTCAAAACAAACTCCCTGTCTGTTTTGCCCAGGTAAATGAAACTGATCTTTCCTACTATTTTTCTAACTTGTTTTAATGTTGTATAATTATTTTTTAAAGGAATCGTGCTGTTAATGGGAGAATCTTGCAAAGAAAGATTAAGGCGTAAAGAATTAGAGTTTATTAAGATTTGCATCTCTTCTGCGATGTGATTGCAACAGACTCTGTGTTTAGTTTCTGTCATGGTTTGTAAGCAAGACCCTGACAGTGTGGTTTTACCACAAAAACCTGTTTGCTGGCAGTTTGAGAAAAAAACCAAACAGCTGAGAATGCTCTGGTAATTCCTGTAGGTGATAATCCCAAAATCGCACCACTGGGACTATAGCGATAGTCCCAAAATGTGGCAGCATTCCTGTCAATCACAGCATCTCAAGATGCTGCAAACCCAACAGGAAGAAGATAGACGGGAGAACCTCAGGAAAGATACAGCCTGACTGCTGGGTAAATACCCTTTATCCCTGGGGCTGGGGGGAGGAGGACCCTCGAAGCTGGGTTGCTGGTCTTGGTGGGTCTGCAGCATAGAATCATAGAATCATAGAATAGGTTGGGTTGGAAAAGACCTCCAAGATCATCAAGTCCAACCCCTGATCCAACTCCAATTACTATATCATGGCACTAAGGGCCACATCCAATCTCTTTTTAAAAACCTCCAGGGATGGTGAATCCACCACCTCTCTGGGTAGGCCGTTCCAATGCCTGATAACCCTCTCTGTAAAGAATTTCTTCCTAACATCTAACCTAAACCTCCCCTGGCAGAGCTTGGCATCACCTTTTTCTGACCCAAAATATGAGAAGCTGACAGATTAAAATTTTATGTTTTTTATGGGTGTTGCTGTGCCAGCTGTAGCTCAGTGAAAACTGGTGTCAGTGTGAAGGTACAATCAATGCAAATAAGCTGGTTTCCAGTTAGCTTTGATCTGAGAGATCCCTTTTTGATGAAACAACAGGAAAATGGGAATAGGGAGTAAAGATATTACAGATTTTGGGCCATGGAGCTACTCAGGTCTGGAGCTGTCCTTTAAAGTAAAAGACCAGGGAGCCCCATCTCAAATCCTGTGGTTGTCACTGGGATTTTGGGCTGCTGTGAAAACTCCCATGTAGCAGCAAGTTTCCTGAAACTCAGAACAGGACTTGAGTCGGTTACATTTAGAAATAGACTCGTTAAAAGCTCAAGCTTGTCTGAGTCGTTACTAGGGAGGGCCTGCTACATGAATAGGCTGTTTCTTCTTTCAGGTTGCAAGAAAATAGGAATACTTCTGAAGGGTTACTGGGGTTAAAGGACTACTTGCATTTTTTCTTCAAGGCAAAAGATTTAGGTGATGTCAGTATTGTTTTCCTTAGCAATGTAATGTTTTTCAAGCCTAAATTAAAGATGCTTCTGTCACTGATTGCTAAGTCGGCAAAATAAGGTGGTCTTTTCCCTTTTCACTAGGGAAGACAGGAGATGTCAGGAAGTGAGGCCCTTGTGGAAAAGCAGGTCAGGCCAGCAGAGAGCAGTATTTTGTCAGGAACATCATTTCCCCAGGGACAGGGCAAAATAGTACAGTATTTATTTCTCTTAGTTGAACTATCTTGCATATATGTTCATAAACAGTCCTGCAGTTAGGACTAGAGATTACAAAGAAATGGGAATGTAATGCTGGGTTGTTTGGGTTTTTTTTCCTTTTTTGTGTTTATGGGAACAGTTCTCCAGCTGGGGACCTGGGATGGATTTGTTTCTGAGACTTTGTCACATGCAGTACTGTGGTCATTCTTAGAATTCAGCCATATAGTCTGAGATTTGTAACAAATTTTCAGTTATGATGTCTATCTGTTATACATATTATTTATATGTGCACATTTAGATTCATAGCTTGGTGTATTATGTATATCATACATGAGCTAGAATGCAGGTCACCGGGAACCAGTTTGGGAACCATTTGGGAAATTATCTCTGTCACTCCAGTGTTATAAGAACAATTGTGTTGGATATATGAATGAGAATTAGTAAACAGGCATCAAATACAAGTTGCACAAATAGGAGAATTAAAAGGTTATTTCACCAATTCGGTCATGACTATTATGAACAGTAACAAGATTATGTTGTAGATAGAAGTACAAGGTCATTATTTTTGGCACAGTGTGCCCACGAACTGCACGTAATCGGCGTGTTGTTTTGTGCAGGCCAGGTAGTAACATATGCTAAATGACACTGACTGGTTCATCTCCTCCCATCCTCAGAGAGGCACATGGGTGTTCAATCAGCTGACATGTACCCAGCAATAGAGTTTGGGCTGCTGTATGTGGACCCGATTGCACATGTGCAGTGTGGAAAACCTGCCCTCTGAGAGCTGCACAGTTAATTAAAGCTCCTTGTGCAGGGCGTATTTGCCTTGGTGCTTCCACCCCTGCCCTGCCTGGGGACTGGTTCTTCCAGGCAGCAGCGCAAGTTTGTGAAATTCAAAGGGGTGAGGAATCTGTTCCCAGCTTGTGGCTGGTGCCACTGCAGCTGGCGCACGGGTGCTCACACACCAGCCTTCCAACTGCTGTTGCTCTGCATTTCAGTTCCCGGCTGTGTCCTGGGTCCCAGGCACTCCCCAGCCACTTAACTGGTAATGCTGTTAATAATACTGCATGTTTAAGGTACAAAGAACACCTCAGGTAACTCCATGAGATATTTCATTGGACGATTCTGGAGTTCCTCTGCTAACAGCAGAATAGGAAGCCAGAAGTCCTGTCCCACAGCAAGCTGAGTTGGGATTGTCTGAAGAAGAAAAATATTTGGAAATACTAAGGAAAAGTAACAGCAACTATAGCTTAAATTTCCATCCAAGATCCCTTTGCTCCCTTCATCTCAAAGACCAAATTATATTAGTGCTGACCTTTAGCAGAAAAGTGTGATGGTCATTGAACCCTGAACATTAAATTTGTTTCCTTTTTGCAAATCACGCCCCTATAGTGTTTGCTGTGGTGATCTCCAGATCCTCCCCATATCCCTGAGCAGGATAGGTAGGTCTGCAGTCCTGCCGCTTTTCTGAAACCCCACATGGCACCTGCTGCTCTCTGATGCCCTCCACTGTGGTTCTTCATCATTCCTTCCCAAAATTTCTAGCAAGGCAGGACTTGGCATGTACTGTGGCTTCTCTAGAGCTGCATCTCTGCCTAGTGCAGAGGGCCATGGTCAAGCATACTAGAGTGATACTGAGCTGTCATTTCCTTTCCTATGGAGGAAGCATAAATAAAATATTTCTCCATCTCCCTTCTGGATACTCACCAATTTTTGACAAACTCATAGAAATTAAACGCCTTTGACATTTATGTTTCTGGTGATTTTGACCACTAGTAACTGGGTTCAATAATTTTGGAGGGGCAGTTCTGTGCTTGTATCATAGAGAGTGTCTCCCAGGGGATGTCACTGGTATTTTTGTTAGTGGTTGTGGCTGTAGTTGGACAAACCAGAAAAACTGAGCAGGTCTTTGCTAGTTCCTCACTGCTGCTCACAAGCCTTGTGCAGAAATGAACTGTAACTTTGGAAATGCTGCCTCAACGTGGTCTTTTTGGTGCCCTACAGGCTGAAGTTCTTCACAAATTTATCATGACCTACATAATTGACCTATATTATGTGTCTGTTTGTTAAATAGATTACACTAATTAGAAACATGAATGGGGATGGCTTAGCAGTTATTTATTTATACTGAGGTGTGTGCCTGTTGTCTGAAATGATGTATGAGAGGATCATTGCCAGACTTTCCCTCTCTGCCTCCTCCATATTTGGCATGTACCATGGACTATTGGAATAAAACATGAATTGATTCTGCTTTCAGAAAAAAAAAAGTAAAATTGTTTTTATTACTCTTCTTCAAGGGGATATATCCACCAGCATGTCTGTATGCAAGAAAATTAAGCATGAGGGAGAAAACATAGCAAAATTTGCAAGCCCTTGATTTGTAGGGCAGTGAGTAGGGGCTGAGTGTGCTTTGCACTTTGTTCACTTTATTGAGACCTTTCTGGCTGAAAAACAGCATTACTACACCGTGCTGATGTTTGAGCATTCTATAATGAAGGGTTTTATTTCTCCTTGCACTTGTGCCACACTTGCAGACTGTTGGAACTATTTGAAATCCCGGGTGCCGGTGAAATGTGGTGAGTTTAATGGAACTGCACCTGCTTCCAGCAAGTATGAATTTTGCTTTTAATGTTTTAGACTGACATCCAAAGCCTGGCTGATTTGCCTCTGGGGGCAGATTTGGATCAAGGCTTTAAAACAGATGTCCCCTGCTACAGACATCTCAGTTGTTTAACAATGCTGTCGGGCGGTTTCCACTGCTGCGTCCTCATTCGTATAGAAGGGTGTGCAGAGTGTAATCTAATTAAGGAGAATTCGCCAGATTTTTTTTCATGTCTGCTATCATTGTGTTGTTAACTTCTCCAAATTCATTAGAAATGTATCCATCTGTGGGCTGTCACATAGCACTGTGTTGAATATTATCGGTAATTCTTCCAAGAAACTTTTTTTGAAGAAAAAAAATAGATGAGGAGGATAAGTAAAGTGAAAACAAATTGCTACCATTTTTAACTGTTCACAATTTCAGAAATTGTTCCTTGTGTGTCATGTTAGGGATGCATTTCCAGGCAGTCAAAAATAGATATTTTACCAGTAGGTTTGTGGGCAGAATGTTTATTCAAATATGTATATTATTTGTTTGGTAAAGTGATCAAGTGGCAGAGGTTTGTCTGGTGGAATAGACAACCCATGCCTTTAACAGGCTTTTGTCATAATCTTGGAGTCAATTGTGAATATTCTGAGGGAGAAGAAAGTAATTTCTCACATTATCATTCTACTTCCTCTGCAGAAGATTGATCCCAGCCTCTTCTATAGGGCTTTTACAAGCTATTACTGTCTGACGTATGACTTTAAGGTTCAAAAAACCAGCTTTTGGTAAAAATGCTCTGATTGAAAAAATCTTTTTGAGCATGATATTTGAAACCTAGGATAATTTAGCTTCAAACTGACCTCTTGAGGTTCCCATGCTCAAACCAGGGCCAAATTTGAAGTTTGATTGAATTGCTCAAAGCATTGTCCAGCTGAATGTTTAGTATCTCCAAGGATGGATGCTCTCGGGGCCCTGTCCCAGGACTGAAGCTGAAATGTGTTGCGTGATACCTAGTAGGAAGTTACCGTGTTCCAATTTGTGTCCACCACTTCTTGTGGTGTCACTGGGATCTCTGGAAAAAGCCAGTCTCCATCTTCTTTTCTTCAGGTAGCTGCAGATAGCAATAAGTTCTCCTCTTTGCCTCCCTGTCTCCAAGTTGAACAAAAAAGTGTTGAATGGAGAGGTAGGCACTGTTCCCTCTCCTGCTGACTCTCCTTTTGCTAACTCAGCCCAGGGCATGGTTGGCCTTCTTTCCTGCAAGAGGATGCTGCTGATCCTGGTCAGTTTGGTCCCCAGGGGCTTTTCCAT